CCTCTACTCCGTGAGTCACAGACACCGCAATCCGTCTCACCCTCCTTTTCCCTAAAATTAAATGGTTCGCTCACTTTCATGGCTGTTAGCGCGATGTTGCTGTGTGCAGATTGGCTGCTGAGGTCGCCCACAAAACACTCAGTCACTACACTTTACAGTAAATCCTGCAAAGCCCTTGGAGACGTCCTCCTGAAAGGCATTGTGTTAAATGCAAGGATTGTTATCATTAATATCCCTGCGGACTCACTGCTCTCTCTGTGTCTCTCACCACAGAGGTGACTGGGACGGAGGGGGAGAGACTGATAGAGAAGGGGTGAAATGGAGGGATTGAGGCAGCGAGTTCCAGAGATTAGGGGTGTTATAGGAGTGTTATATTATATAATGAGCCCTATTCCCAGACTCTTTCACCCTTTTGTTTGATACAGAGCCTTATTATGTCATTGAGACATCTCAATACCCTCACAGAATATACTGTAAAGTGCAGTGATTGTGTAGTTTGTGGGCAAAAAGCGGCAGCCAATTGCGCACAGTAACGTAGTGTTTAGAGCGCTCGCCTTGCAAGCCAGAGGACCCGGGTTCGATTCCCGGCCGGGGTGAAACCTTAAGCAAATCCTTACTCCACAGACCTCTGTTTACCAGCAGTAAGTAGGAACCCGCTCGTTAGCCGATTGGTGGATCGCTTTCCGGGGCAATAATCCCTTCAAAAAATTAATCCAAAAAAAAAATAATCCTTCATGGATTGAGTGACCAAATTATTTTTTGAAGGGATTACAGGACTCCATGTTTGGCTGGGTTTGTACTGAGGATCGAGAAGCAGCCACTCCAAGGTTCACTACAGGAGGTGCCGGGGAATGTCAGGATTATTGATCAGATCTCCAGGAGCACAGGGACTCCGTGTTCCCCACATCGCGTCCTGAGCCTTCACTGAGGCCCTGACTTTGTTCAGTCAGTATTTGCCCTTCACAGCGAGACTTGGCCTCACACACGGACTGAACTATTCCTGACAGCAGATAACAGACAGCCTTTCATCAGCGACCTTCAGTCCCTCCGCTCCGACCACACTCTAACGCACTAACATGCCAACACACTGCCAGTTTATCAACATCTGGAGCCAGCTGTCCCAAATACCAGTGAGATCAGAGAGTGGCCTTCAACCTCACAACTCAAGAGAGAGACAGAGAGAGAGAGAGAGACAGACAGACAGACAAAGATAGAGACACAGAGAAACAGAGAGATAGGGTAGAGGAAAGGGGGAGAGTGTGTGCGGGAGAGAGAGACGCCGGGGTGAGAGAGACAGAGATAGAGACAGAGAGACGAGGGGCAGAAGGGGGAGAGAGTGTGGGGAAGAAAGAAAGCGAGAGACACGGCGGGTGATGGAGGGAGAGAGACAAGATGGGGGAAGAGGATTGAGAGAGAGAGAGAGAGAGAGGAGTGTTTGAGGCTTGGCTGAAGTCAGACTGTGCTGAGTTGACAGGAGACAGAGCACGTCTGCTTGGCGTGACGAGGTACAGGTGGGCAGTGCTGTACAGGGGGGCAGACAATCTCCCGATGAGGGTCTCCTGGTCAGGGAGTGTGGGGGGAGGGGAGAGGTTTCAGCGAGGAGGAAGTTACAGCTAGTTACAGACAAATGCTTGGAATTTTCTCAGTGTTTCCTGATTTGCCGACAGATTTGCATGAAACCGGTCTGGGGAGGCGGGAGCGGGAGTGGTTTGGGGCTCTTTTTGGGGAGCTGTGTATCTAACACACACGGAAACTCAACAGCGTTGTTTAAGAGTTCTCCAAACCAAGCTGAGAATTCCATGCCTCCCACTTACACATGGAAATCCCAGAAGTAGATCTTTGGAGTCCTGTAGCTCAGTAGTTAGAGCACTCGCTTTGCAAGTGAGAGACCTGAGTTCATTTCCAGGCAGAGGGCGAAACCTTGGGCAAGTTTCCTTACTCCACACAGAGCCTAATAATAATCCCTCCAAAACAAAACAATAATAAATTGGTCATTTCCAATCCACGACTGTTTGTGGGACACTGCTGTGCGCAATTGCTGCCGCGTTCGCCCACAAATATACAGTCAATTCACTTTACAGTGTGTTCTGTGAAGCGCTTTGGGACGTCCTCCTGACGTGAAAAGCGCTATATCAAATGCAAGGATTATTATTATTATTATTTGGAATGAAATGCGCTCTCTCTCTCTCTCTCACTCTCTTTGGAGAATCGTATCTGCTTACATAATTCCATCACTGAACAAAATAAGCAATTACTTGGAGATGATGATGTGGGTGGGGAGTTACATAGCATTTGCTTATCATTTCCGAGAAGAAGAATGAGGAACGTCTTGCAATGAGGGAACTGTGTGGTTCCAAACAGACAATAACATGTCACAACTTTGTGTTGGCACCTCGGCAGCTCAGGCCTATTCACTGCTGAAAGATCAGGTTCCTCTCCTCACTGCTGCCCCAGGTCCCGTGTGCAAAGACTATCAAGCCTACCTGTCGGGTCCACTGTTCCTTTACCTCTCTCACCCCTCGCTCACTACACTCCCCCGCCCCCCCCGAGCGACCCCTCCACCCCATTCATCAGTGGCTGAGCCTTCAGCCGCTCCTCTGGAACGCGCTGCCTCCACAGCTCTGCCTCATCCCCTTGACCCACCTTTAAATCCCAACTAAAAACCTCCCTCTTTGACTGTGGCTCTAGCCCCCTCCCTGCCTTTCTCCCTCGCTCAGGGTCTGACTCCACTTGAGAAGTGGAGAACACAGGGCAGCGTCTCGGAGCGTTGCACAGTGGTGGGAGTCAGACCCTGAGCAAGGGAGAAAAGCAGGTTGGTTCCTCATCAAACTGTTCTAGAAAACTATCTCTAATGCATTCCATAAATTCAGCCTCTAATTTACTATATCAACTCTACCCAACTCTATCTCTCTGCCTCCATCTTCGACCCCAGGACCACTGATGTCCTGACAGACTGTCTGTCAAACATCAAGTCCTGGATGAGAGCCAACTTTCTACATTTGAACGTCAGCAAGACCAAGACTCTCCTGATTGGCTTTTGCCAACGCCTCCGCACCTCAGGCACTGACAGCATCCAAGGATGCACACTCCACCTCACCAAGCCAGTCAAGAACCTAGGCATCTTATTCAACCCTCAACTGTCCTTTCTCCCCCACATCCATGCCATAACACGCTCTGCCTTCCCCCACCTCTGCAACATTTCCCGACTCCGCCACTACCCCGCCCAACTCTTCCCTCCACAAGTTGCAGATCATCCAGATCTCTGCAGTTTGTGTCCTCTCCTACACCAGACTCCATGACCCCATCACACCCACCTTTGCCTGGCTCCACTTCCCTCAGAGAATCAAGTTCAAAATTCTCATCGTCACCTTCAAGGCCCTCCATGGCCTTGTCCCCTCCTACCTCTCCAACCTGCTAACCCCTTATCAACCTGTCCTCTCCCTCCACTCAGTAGGCTCCAGCCTGCTCCATGTCCCCCGACCGGCCTGCCCCACCATCGGCGGTCAGGTCTTCAGTCTCTCTGCCCCCACCCTCTGGAACTCCATCTAACATACCCTTCACCTCGCTCCCTCCCTTACCTCCGTCAAGGCACGCCTCAAGAACCTCCTCTTCGATTGTGCCTTTGGCCACCCTCCTACCCTCTCTGCCCTCCACCCTTACTGACCCAAACCCCCCGCCCACGCGAGCTCTGATTGTTCAGCGCCTTGGGACATCCTCCCAACGTGAAAGGTAATGTAATTTTGTGTTGTGTGACAACACAAGGATGAATATTATTATAATAACCGGCCTTTCCTGCTCTGGCTGCAACACCACAGCACACCCCCACCCCAAGTTACAAGATTAAACAAAAAACCTTCCAAATTCATAGTCAAAACGTCCGAAATATTTCATTGATAATGCTGCCGCGTGTGGCGTGTGTTTGGGTAGGGAAACACACCAGGCAAAGCAGGGCAAGGTCTGTCCTCAGCCTTGAAGTCACTGAGAGTGTCTAATCTGCGGGATTGTCAGCCCAGAACCCGGAACAACCCCCCCCCCCCCCCATTCCCGAGTCTGGGGAGTCTCTAACCTGAACAGGTCTGGGTGGGAACCTTCGGGTTTAACACCTCCCCTCATGGGCCAGTGTGTGCAATTGGCTGCCACGTATTGCCAACAAAATACAGTCACCTCACTTTACAGTACATCCTTTGAGACGTCTCACCAACCTGATAAGGTGCAGTATTAAACACAAGGATTATTATTATAGTAAAGATTATTATTATTATAGTGCACCAGGAAAATATAAAGAAAAAAACTTTGGACTGAGCTCCTGATGGTCAGTGAAACCTTAATAATAATCCTTGCATTTGCACATCTTCGAGACATCTCAAAGCGCTTCACAGAATATACTGTAAAACATAGTGACCGTGTGTTTGTGGGTGAAACCCTTGAAAACATTTGCAATCTGCTTGTCTTGACAAGTAAGTCAGTTCCGGCAAAAGGAACTGGCAATAGGTTTCCTCATCATGCGTCAGTCAGTGAGGTCAGAGACAGCAGGAAATAGACTGGATTCCAGTTTTTACAGAGTTGGAACAGATAACTTCCCACTAGGAGCCGGAAGGCTTTACTGTAAATCAGGCGTGACAGCAACACATACTTACGGGCAGTCACTCCACACAGAGCTTCTGTTTTTTTTGTTTCAAAACAAAACTTACTGCAAAATGTGACGATATAGCACCTTATCACGTCTTTGAGACATCTCAAAACGCTTCACAGGATATACTGCAAAGTGAATTGACCGCACAAACTAATTTAGGAATTTAAAGCATCTTTGAAAATCCCCAGCGTCAGGACCCAACAACAACATTCAGACAGGAAGGAGATGTGGGAATGAGTTGTTTTGGCAAAGTCTTTGCTGATATCTCTAGAAAGCAGCCCTTTCACAACCATGTGTCATATTCTTCCCAGAAAGTAACTGAGTGACAGCCTCACCCACAGCACTGAGCAAACCAGAGACACGCAGATGATTTTACTATTTTTATTAGTTTTTGCCCCCATCATGGAATAACTTGTATAAATTATATGTATATATTCTGTTAAAATCAGTGGAGTATAAAGTTGGATGTAATGGGGGAAGGAAGGGGAGAGCCACAGTGCCCTCCCTGGGCAGGCGGATCAGGCGCTCACAGACACCAAGTTGCTCAAGCCATCAAAATAGGACCTTTCGCTCTCATTCAGTAGCTCAAAGTGTAGGGGGCGATGGCAGAAGTTACACTCTGCAGAGGAGTGGGATTTCAGCTCCAGCCCAACATCCTTCCACACAATCAGCAGCTTCTCTGTTTAATAAAAATAAAACAGATTTAGTCTGGCATACCTTCACTCTGCTTACCGTCTGTGACACACACATTTCACAGAATATATTGTAAAGTAACTGTACATTTTGTGGGCAAAACACAACAGCCAATTACTCACAACAGTGTCCCACAGCAGTATCAACAACAACAAGATGACATTTGTACAGCGCCTTTCATGTCGAGAGGACGTCCCAAGGCGCTGAACCGAATACAACATTTCAGACCCGAGTTGGGGTCGGGGGTGGGGGGGGCAAAGGCAGGGGAGGGGAAGGGGGGTGGCTGATGGCATGGTCAAAGAGGAGGGTCTTGAGGCAGGACTTGAAGGAGGCTAAGGAGATCCCAGAAAGCGATCCACCAATCAACTAACAACCGGATTCCCACTTACTGGTAGGTAAACAGAAGTGTGTGGAGTAAGGAAACTTGCCGAGGGTTTTGTCCTGCTTATAATAATAATACTTGTATTTGATATAGCGCTTTTCACATCTTCTAGACATCTCAAAACACTTCACAGAATATACTGTAAAGTGAATTGACTATATTTGTGGGCGAACGCGGCAGCCAATTGCGCACAGCAATGTCCCACAAACAGTCGTGGATTGAAAATGACCAATTTATTATTGATTTGGGTTTTGGAGGATTATTATTAGGCTCTGTGTGGAGTAAGGAAACTTGCCCAAGGTTTCGCCCTCTGCCTGGAATTGAACTCAGGTCTCTCACTTGCAAAGCGAGTGCTCTAATCACTGAGCTATTAGACTCCACAGGAAAGTAACCTAACATTTCTGCATACCATTAAATCACTAATCCACTCACCCAGGATTAACCACACACTGCCAACTCCCAAACACACTGGGCAGAGCCAAGGGCATGTCCCAGTGACACAGCCATCACCGTAGTTGCTAGTCATTAAATACCAGTGGCATTATACACCAAGCATCACAGTAAACTGATAATGTGTTTTGGCCAGACAGTCTGGCTGCCTTGTTTAGCCAGCAGATGAGTGAGCACCTCAGTACACAATGGGCTGTGACAGAGTGTCAAGCCGAGTGTAACAAGCAGATGTTCTGGCTGCCCCTGTGTCCCACACATCATTGTATCTTACCCAGAAAGTAATCCATCATCTGAGGGGTGTGGTGAGGTGTAGGAGCGATGCGCAGGAGCTCCTCACCACGTGCCACCGTGGGGTAGTTGATGGCTTGGGCATAAATGTTGTATTTACTCAACAACTGATCAGAGACCTTGGTGTTCTGCGCTGCGTTGGAAACCTGCAGAAACAGACCAAGCACATTAGTCAGTGAGGTGGGGCGGGCAATCCTTTACAAAGCAAACCACTTACAAGTAAGATCTCATTGACACACATTCCCCATCAATTCAATGAGCAGGAATATTGCTCCAACCTGCCCAGAGGGTGTGGCCATCAACTCCCACTTCAGAGGCAGCGATGCCTTAATGTTTTGGGGTATGTGAGAGCTGACACACAGCATATTATCACAAGCCGCCTGTTCAACGTGAACCAGGCTCCTCCAGCAAACAAGGTATCAAATCACAGGAGACCATTAACCTGACACAGATTTAGGATTCCCAGTTTACAGGAAACACAATGAAAAGCATCAAAATACAACAACAAATTACCTTTGTTTAGTGCCCTTCACATGAGGACATCCCGAGTCGCTGGAACATCCCCCAGCGCTGGGGAATGTCATCCCGACGTGAAAGGCGCTATACAGTAAACACGAGGTGATGAGAAGCTCAGGCAGTGTAGGCCTGAAGTGATAGAAGGGACACTCACACGGATGGGGATAATGTGACTGGGACACTGGATGACAGGGAAGCCTCCGTCCATCAGTAGCTGCCTCATATGGGCCACGTTACGCTGGTGTTTACGTCGCAGCAACCGCCCTTCCTCGCTCTTTAGCACGCGCACCGACTCCAGGGCCCCCGACAGCAGCATGGGCGGCAGCGAGGTGGTGAAGATAAAGCCAGCGGCGTAGGAACGCACCAGGTCCACGAGAGAAGCCGTGCTGGCTATATAGCCACCAACACAGCCAAAGGCTTTCCCTGCGAAAGGAAGAGAGCGGCTTTAATAATAATGATAATCCTTGCATTTGCTATAGTGCCTGATCACGTCAAGACGTCTCGAAGCGCTTCACAGGATATACTGTAAAGTGACTGTATATTTTGTGGTTTTGGGGAGGGATTACCACCGATGGAAAGCGATCCACCAATCGACTAACAACTGGGTCCCTACTTACTACTAGGTACCAGAGTCGTGTGGAGTAAGGAAACTTGCCTAAGGAATCAAACCCACGTCCTCTCGCTTACGAGGCGAGCTTGCCCTAACTAGACTGCAGAACTCCACTTTTGCTATGAATTGTTCCATGAGCACAAACGCCAACATGCAGAACAGTTTCAACATGAACCACATTCAGCAGGGAAGAAAGCAGATCTCAGCAAATTGCTGCACGTCTGAATGTTACCAGCAATGATGCCAAGCAATGTGCTGGGGTAAGGGTGGGGGGTGGGGTTGGGGTAGAGATAGCAGGATGTGGCTCCTGCTACACAGAATGATTCTCAGAAGGCAGCATCCACACAATCTGCTGAGCATCAGTAATCCAAATGTCCCTCATGCACAAAGGGAATTACAAGACATCTCAGCCTGCATAGGATACAACTTTCTCATTGAAAGGTCAGAGCCAAAATGGGAACAAAGTTTATTGTGTAACATTTCATTCACCATCTGATTAGGTGCAGTGGTAATGATGCTAATAAAACTGGCACTGAGGGTTAGTAAACCCAGGACCATCCAGTACAATGGCTGTTTTGTAAAGAGGCTGTTCACACTCCTGTACAAGAAGGCGGCTGTGTATCACATGGCTGTAATTTGATAAGCATTACCATTATTTAATATAAGACAGATATTGGGCAAACTCGGTCACAGGCTCAGTTTACTCTTCTCTGAAGCCTTTCTAGGTCAGTGCTTTAATTACATCTGACAACAGGCATTCAGAGTGATAAACGTCAGCATCCTGTATTGTATACAAAATTGCTGCTAAACAGCATTAAATGGGTTACTAACGTAATCAAACCACTATTATTTTTTAATATAATAAAGCCCAAACTCCCAGACTTTCACTAAATAGTAATTATATACCAACTGTGGGTTGTTAATAAGGGTGACTGAAGTGCCTATAAAGTGAAAGGCGCGATGTAAACACAAGCTGTTGTTGATAATAATAATAATCCTTGCATTTGATATAGCGCTTTTCACGTCGGGAGGACGTCCCAAAGCGCTTCACAGAACACACTGTAAAGTGAATTGACTGTATATTTGTGGGCGAACGCGGCAGCCAATTGCGCACAGCAATGTCCCACAAACAGTCGTAGATTGAAAATGACCAATTTATTATTGTTTTTGGTTTTGGAGGGATTATTATTATTATTATTATTAATCAGTGGCGTTGAGGAGATCTACCTATTTATTGGTCATGAACTTTGGAAACGACACCAAATGACGTGAGAAACATCGCCCCGTACACGCACTCCAGCTACTAGCAAGTGTTGTTCTGCTCAATCATCATCCTTCCGAGGTCAGAGTGCCCTAATCCACCACAATAGCAGCAGGCTCGCAGCACTCCAGGAAAGAGGGCCAGGAAGCACATACCCAGGGTTCCTGAAATGATGTCCATCTTATGCATGAGCCCGTCACGATCGCCGATGCCCCCACCCCGAGAGCCGTAAAGCCCCACGGCATGGACCTCATCCACAAAGGTGACGGCACCGTATTGATGTGCCACGTCACACAGCTCCTCCAGCGGGCACACACCGCCTGAGGGAAAAGGCAACATCAGACACTTGGGAAAGAAAGGCTTTCAAACCACAATATGGAAATTTAACTCTGCCCCTGCCCAACCACCATTGCCATACAGTACAGCCCAGGTAATCTGGTGATGTGAGGGGAGAGGGCGTTATAACCAGCACGATTGTGGTCAGTTCTTCCACATTGTGTGCCTGTACATAGAATACTGGTTGGCTTCCTGTGCTTAAAGTATAGTCACCACCCAGATTATGGCTGTCACTGCTGGGAGCTGAGCATTTATAGCCAGCAACACAGGCAATGACAAACAACAACAAAATTACATTTGTATAGCGCCTTTCACATCGAGAGGACGTCCCAAGGCAGGGATTAAACCAACAGGAGGTTGGCCATTTAACACTCAGGAAGCCAGCCGGCCAGCACTGTGAGGCCAACTCTGTGCGTTCTCTGATGTTTCGGTTTGAAATGTCAGAGCCCATAACCCAATCACACTACAATCGGTGTTTCTCTAAAAATCATCCTAACGTTTGATACAGGACCTCATCAAACATTTCAACGTTGGGCAGGGGCAGAGGGAAGATTTACAGTAAATGGTGACTGTACTGGAGGCAAACATATTAACAGATTTCAGGGTAAATAAATGTGGCCAGACTAGTTTGGGAGGTTTTGCAACTTAGGAATTACCTTATTAGCTTGCTGACACACTACACCCAGTTCCCTTTACAATGGGAATAGATTACAGACACATACCATCCATTGAGTGCACAGTCTCAAAGGCCACGATCTTGGGAGTGGCCGGATTGGATTTACGCAGCAGCTCCCGCAGGTGACTGACATCATTGTGACGAAAGATGAACTTGGGAACACCACTGTTCCGAATTCCTTGGATCATGGAGGCATGGTTTCCCGCATCAGAATAGATCTCACAACCTGAGCAAATGGAAACAGAACTTAGTGCACGCACACACACACACACACGCACGCACACACACACAGCCTCTGAAATCATTCCCAACGACAGGGAGCCCACAGTAAGACAAAACAAGCCTCGTAACCCAACACTGCTCAAAAGCCAAGGCTGTGAAGTATCTGGTAACAGAGTTACTCATCTTGCTCAGAAACGTACACAATGATTCACAAAGTGGTTAAAGTCCTGTAACAGACATTCGAAGGAAAGGAAATTCACTTTATTAAAATTAACAAGCATGATTTAAACATCACAATGTGACCAGCTTTCTGTAGAGCAGAGAGAGAATAAATACCATTTAGGCAAAAAGTTGCAATTAGGGTGCGGAACGCAAAGCTATTAAACAGGTAACGTGCAGCACAAGACATCTCTGTGGGGATCTGAAGGGATTGTAAACCCAGCGCGACAAGCCAAGGCAGCAATGGCCAGGGATGTGAAAGTGATTCTGTAGATAAGACACCAAAAGTATGGGAAGTATTTGACACCAGCAGTTGGAACAGGTTACCAGAGGGAGTTTAAGGCTAGTCTGGTGAACTCTCAAACAATGGGAAGACAGCAGTAAGTATATTTAAGGATAGTCCAGTGATCTTGTAAGCAGGTTTCACTGAGCACCATACGTACCTGGGAGCATTTTGGCCAGAGTGAAGAGCGTTGAATCATTGGCTACGAAGCAGGAGGAGAACAGCAGAGCAGCGTCCTTGCCGTGAAGATCAGCCAATTCACCCTCTAAATCAACGTGGTATTTGCTGGTTCCAGAAATGTTCCTGGTGCCCCCAGCTCCCGCACCGTGCTGCCGCAGGGCATCCCTGGAAAGGAAACCGAGCTTCCAGTTACACAGCTGGAAACAAAGGCAAACTGAAGCCAGCTAGAGGATTAGATCTTGTACGAGTTCAGAAAGGAATTCTCTGCACACAAAGGCATTCCAATCTGTGGAGTCCTGTAGCTCAGTGGTTAGGGCACTCGCTTCACAAGCAAGAGAGCTGGGTTCGATTCCCAGCAGGACAAAACCTTGGGCAAGATTCCTTAATCCTTGCTCGCCTGATAATAATCCCTCAGAAAAATAAATAAAATTGGTCCCTCAATCCATGACTGTTTGTGGGACGCTGCTGTGCGAAATTGGCTGTCACGTTTCACCCACAAATATACAATCAATTCACTTCACAGTATACTCTGTGAAGCATTTTGAGATGTCTTCAGCCTCTCAGCCCCAAGGCTCTAGAACTCTATCCCCCAGTGCCTTCGCCGCTTCCTCCCTTTCCTCCTTCAAGGCCGGTCTCAAGACCTTTCTCTTTGACCTTCAGCCTTCAGCTCCCCTCTCGACTCTCTACCCCCTCCTCACCCCCTCCCTTCCCTCCCCTCACCCTGACCATTTCCCCCTTGCTCGGGTCCTGACCTAACTGTACAGCGCCTTGGGACGTCCTCCCGACGTGAAAGGCGCTCAATAAATGGAATCTTGTTGTTGTTGTCTAGAAGACATGAAAAGCGCTACAACAAATGCAAGGATTATTACATTTTTATTATAATCTGCTCCACCCTGCCCACCATCTCGCTCATGTTTAACTCGGGGCTTCATTCCTCACCACACCCCTCTCGTGTGCAAGGCTGTGTTGACATACACCAGTTGGGGAGAGAAGCACAGCCAACTGCAAACTGAGACATTCTGCGTACAAGCCAAGGTGCAGATACGTTGACAAATAGAAAATCGTTCCCAACAAAAAGCCGTGGGCCAGTAAAGTGTGTAGGTACAGTTGCGAGGGACACTCACATTATAGACGCCACGACCCTGGGGTGCCGGCTCATCCCCAGGTAATCGTTGCTGCACCACACAAACACCTCCTTCTTGATGCTAACAGAGTCAGAGTAATCGTCAGCCATGGGGAAGACATCTGCTCGCCGGTTCACAGTTTTGAAGACTCGATACGTGTGGTCTTTCTTCTTCGCGTTGATCGACTTCTCGAAGAAACCATCATATTTGAAGGCTGGGACAGCTGCAGATAAAGAGAATAATATTAGTAATAATAATAATAATCATCCTCACATTTGATATAGCGCCTGATCACATTGCTGAGACGTCTCAAAACTCTTCACAGCACATATTGTAAAGTGAATTGACTGTATATTTTGTAGGCGAAACGCAGAAGCTAATTGTGCACAGCAGGTCAGGGTTAAGGAGACACTCCAAAGTGATTTAAAATAAATGTCAGGAGTTTAACCAGCACCCACACACCATTCCTCTCTCCCACCCACCCCTTGCCCCTCAATTGATGAGGAAAAAAAAGTAACTACAGAATAGTATAAATTGAGATTGGGATAAGTTGGGATGCTCATTACATTTCTGTAGCTAACACTTACATTTGGGCATGTTGTCTTGAATGAGATGGGACGGACGTTTCTGCTTGACAGCACCGTGCAGGTTTCTCAGGAGGCTGGGCTGCTGTCTGCTCACTTCACTCACACTGACAGCAGCTGGATTATGAGCCAACTCTGAAGGGTAATTTTGCAATTGGTTAGCCTGATGCCATCAATATTAAAACAATCCTAACGTGGGTGTAAGGTGATTAGTGCTGAGATCAATGGCATCGCCACAGTGGAGTAAACAATTCTAAACATGCAGAAATCAAAGACGGATGCACACCTGAAATGATGAGACTTGCTGACACTCTCAGCTCAGGTGGTGTAAATTCAGAGGCATGATCTCGATTTGGCCTTGGCTCAAAACAACGGGTGCTTAATAAAAATACCACGAACTTTAAAGGACTGGGAGGCACGGACAATTGGGAAATATAGAGATCCTGCTTCACACTCAAGCAATGTGACATGCACCACCATACTAAGTTGGAATACAAGGACATTCTGGATTTAAGTCCAACACCACAGTACAAGGTTATAAACCTAGTTAATCCTACCTTTCCTGACAGCGTGCATCTCCTGTACATCTTCCGAAAGCTCCACACTGGCTTTGCGGACCACGCTGCTGTGGCCATGGCTCATCTCAGCAGCCAGGAAGGGGCATTTGGAGGCGACAGCCTGGCCTGGACCTGGGGCCGGGTGTCCCAGGGGAAGTTGGACGCTGGGGACACTCGCCGGAGCTGCACGTGAGGCGTTGGGTTCTGTGGCACAGAGAAAAGATTGTTCAAGAAAATGCCCAGAGCAGACAACTACAGACAAAAATTAATAATAAACCTTGCATTTGATATAGCACCTTATACTGTAAAGTGTAGTGACTGTATTTTTGTGGGTGAAACGCAGCAGCCAATGCCATGTCCCATAAACAGTCATGGATTGAGTAACCACATTTTTTTTTGAAGTGATTATTACCCCCAGAAAAGCAATCCGCCAATCGACTTAACAACTGGGTTCCCAACTTACTTATAGGTAAACAGAGGGGTGTGTGGAATAAGGAAACTTGCCCGATGTTTCACCCTGCCCGGGAATCGAACCCAGGTCCTCTCCCTTGTGAGGTGAGCGTTCTAACTACTGTGCTGCAGGACTGCACATTTTCAAATTCAATGAGATCAAAGAGCATTCCATACAAGAATTCAAAACTCAATGTACAATCCGCTCACTGACTGAAATCCTTGCTTTTTCAAATTAAAAGGCAAATTAGATTAAATTTCTCCAAATTCTGAATGATGCCATCTGACAGCTGCACATTAATGTTACTGCAATCCATAGAATGGAGACATGAGAAAAATATCCACACCCTGCGGGCATCACATTTCCCATTAAGCAACAGTAGAAATAACAAGTGTCAAAATACTTCACCCAAATAATTCCACTATGCCGGTAACACCCTGATTTAACAGTGAAGAAACAATCAATATGTAAAGAATCATGTTTTCCCACAGTGAATAGTTTCAAAATATGTAAAGCGCTGTGCTTAGCAGGAAATGCAAAGCAGAGACTTTTGGCCCTTGGGCCAAAGAACATATTTGGATTTTTTTTTAAACATCAGTTCCTCATAACTAATTACTGGGTTACAGCTACACTAAGCAGTTTCCATCATTTCCCTGTTCAGATCAGTCAGTCACAAGGAACAGGCTTCATTGTTTGACATTACTGATCTTGGAACTTCAACCGCCTCACCACACCCCAACAAAACAAGCTGCTCGACTCCCCTTCCCTCCCAAACTGAACACTTGCCGCCTTTAGCCAGGGAAGGGGAGTTCTGCTGCCTATACGCAGAGGGGCAAAGGGGTCCTTACTCTCAGTCACTGGTGTGGTCTCCTTGGTCTGGTGGTGAGCAGCAGAGGTGGTGACGTTACGCATTGCCAGCTTGCTTGCTGACTCCATCATGACGGGGCAGCGCTGAGCATAGTAGATCAGGGATTTGCCCGCTTTCTGGAGAAAGTTCTGTGAGACACGGGACAGGAACGGGCAACGCCAAACAACAGTCTCCATCGTGGTTCTCAATCTGCAAAAAAATTAAACTTTTCAGAGCAAAGCCTCCCAGGTAAATACTTCCAACACTCACTTAACTAACGTTTCCAGCTGTTCCGAAGTGGGAATACACACATTGCACAGGAGATTACTTATGGAAAAGAAAACCTAGACGCTTAATGCTTTCTTGATGCCATTTAACATCTTGTATATATACCTCTCAGGTGGTCTCCGAGGCCACTGCTTTGAGGCTGAAGCTTATCTAATCTTTCCTTATATCTCATCCCTCTAACACCAGCAATCAGTTTACTTCCTTTCTTCTGTATTAAAACCTCCTACATCAATCAAAGTTTCCTTCCAATATCTTGACTACGATATTCATTGCACTAGAGATGGGGAATCTCAATGTCACTAGATCAGGAATCTCAATGATTACAGTTCAGTTTAAAAAATGCATCATAAACAATGTCACAGTAACACAACGATAGCCTAGCTGGGTCAGAGCAGAGAGGGTCTACATCAGCACCAGGCACTAAATTAAAAATGAATAATTTCCTTAAACTAAAGGCTTACCTAGGTAAACGGAAAAATAATTTCATTCTCTCCAAAGCTAAAAGCATACTTGTACACCAAATTGGCTTTACCTCAAAGTGGTTTTAAGAACGGTGCCAGTCAACACAGAAGCCAATGTAGTTTACACGGTGAAACAGAAACAAACATTCTCAATCGCTCAAATATAAACATACTTGAAGACACTGTTCCACTGGCATCTCAGAAACTGAACGGCAAACCCACACCTCAACAGGTTCATGCTACTTTACACTAGGTAAGGTTCTCACAAAAACAAGAAATGCACAGGTTTAAGCGTGTACACTCCAGAGCGGCCGTTAGCCTGAAATGGCTACAGGGTCAGATGCTCCAAATGAAACCCCGAGTGTGGGCATCTGGTTTAGACATCTCAATCAGTTCCTCATGTATTGAGACAATGGGAGTGGAGGGGCGATGCTGAAGCAGCTCAGTGATGCTGACGGAATTAGACGGCTAGAAATATCCAGTCACAATGACGCTCAAAATCAGAGAATACTACAGCACAGAAGGAGGCTACTCAGCACATCGTGTCAGTGACAGCTTTCTGAAAGAGCTCTCCATGTAGTCCCATTGCCCTCAAACAAACTCAACTCACACCATCACTAGCACCTGCAAGATTACAATTGGAAAAACAAGCTGGCAAAGTCTGCAACTACTAAACAACAAACAAAACCTCTCTTGAAGATTTACCCCAACAACCTAGCAAGTAAAGTTATCACCTTACCACTTCACGTGGACATTCACCAAAGTTATAAGTGTTTGCAAGCAACGTGCCTGTACAGCAATGCCAACCCTGTATTCACAGAGCTACACATTTAGCATCAAAACAATGCCTGGCAGGGGAGGGAGCAGTGTTATTTATATCACAAGCTATTTTGATTGAAGATCAAAACTGCACCCAGATCTTTGGAGGTAGGTTTCACATTAGAATATGTACGGAGACTTGTATTTATAGCAGTTTATAGGCTTGGTTTACACATGGGTCTAAAGTACAGTGCATACACCAGTGTTCTCTCCTCACCTGCCTCTCCCATTTAAAATGTCTTCAGATTATGGCAACCTTTAACAGTGGGCATTACCTGAAACACTTATGGATGCTATCTTACCAGATCACAAGTTCATATTTATTAGGTTGAGTTCTACAATGCAGTGCACACCGCTCACCCACTAGTAAGAGTTGACTGGTTTAAAACCACACAAGCTACATCGCAACTCACTGATGCTCAATTTTAAACCAAAAGGTAATTAAGATCCTTAACATGAACAAACTCCATGCACTGGCCCTAGTACAGACGATCAGTGTAAACCCAAGTATGGATGAGACATTTCAAGTACTGTACTTAAAGTAGTCAATAAATAATCCAACACAGCAACATTTAAGATGGATTCTTCAACAACTTACTTCTTCTACTGAAAGAGTTGATTGCCTATTTCCCTTCTTGCCCCTAACACAGAAGACCACCACAGGGGCGAGTGTGAAGCACTCAAAACCACTCAACAAATTACAAGATTGAGCAGTGCTAATGTGGGCTGGGCAACAGGAGGCATCATCACAATCAAGAGTGTGTGTACGCAGGGGCATCAGTGTGTGTGTGCGTGCGGGGTGGGGGGTGCCGAGCTGTGAATGCCAAGCGCCAGGTTGAGGTGTGAAATCGAACACTCACTGATTGATGTCGTCCAGGCAGAGATCATCGTCATCCGTGTACACACCGTTACATAGATGGGAACCTGAAACTGCAGCACAGAGCGAGAGTGTGAGAGGGAGACAGGAAGGGAGAGAGATGGAGAAAGCGCGAGCAACAACAACTTGTATTTGTGAAGAATGTGTTTGTGTAGAGACTTGCACTGATATAACGGCCTTCACACGGGCTAGCGTCTCAGAGCGCTTGGCCCAGACACGAGTGCTGCTCCCAACGCTCCATCACATTCGCTCCCCCCACCCACCCCCAACCCTCCCTAACCATCCCCTCCCCCTGCCCCTGTACTGGGAGCTTTTGGCACTGTTTGCTGTCTCTACACGAACACATTCCTGATTCCTGCCGGGAGACTGGGAGTGAATCCATGGCAAGCTTTCACCTGCCGTGCACTCAGCACATTCCTGCCCCAAATAGGCCCTTCACTTCACTTCACTTCGCTGGGCAAGTGGCTGAAAGTTTTCTAACTCTCCCCGTGTTCCCTTGTGATGAACTTAAATTGAAGACCTCTCCCGACCGACAAATAGAAATAAATCCTTCCCGTTTACATAATTAGGGTTTCAGACTGACTCACTCGATCATGCTCTGGCCTCTGAGTCAGGAGGCTTCGAGTCCCCGCATCAGGGAATTTAAGCTCACAGTCTCGGCTGAGGCTCCAGTACTGGGGGGGGGGAAGAGAGCAACGACAATATTGGATGAGACATTAAACCTTGCTCCCCTTCTGCCTGTCCAGCGGGACATTAAAGATCCTGTGGTGCTGTTAGAAAAGGGAAGGTATCTGGCTGACAATTACCCAGATTAAACTGATCTGTCATTTCACAGCTGTTTGTTTGTGGGAAATTATATAATAATGATCATTGCATTTGATACAGAGTCTTATCACATACCCAAAAGTCTCAAAGCTCTTCACAGGATATACTGTAAAGTGAATTGACTGTTGTATTTTGTAGGTGAAACGTGGCAGCCAATGGCGCACAGCAGCGTCCCCACAAACAGCCGTGGATTGAAGTGACCAAATTATCATTGTTTTTTTCTTGAGAGATTATTACTGGATTGCCGGGTTCACTCACAAATCACACATTCACAGATATTCCACTTGAAGCACTTTTTGAGACATTTGACCTCATCAAAAGGCACGGATTCCTTTAGCCTCACCTCCCGGGCAAGTCTGCGGTCCCCATCTCCCTGAGGCTCTCACTATCCACACACTGTTAGGGCAGGTCTGGCCAGAGCCTCAAACCTTGATACAGAGCCTTATCACGTCTTCCAGACATCTCAAAGCGCTTCCCCAATTACACTGTAAAGTGAATTGACTGTGTATTTGTGGGCGAAACTCGGCAGCCAATTGCACACAGCATCGTCCCACAAACAGTCGGATTGAAGTGACCAATTTTTTTTTGAAGTGATTATTACCCCCAGAAAAGCAATCCGCCAATCGACTTAACAACTGGGTTCCCAACTTACTTATAGGTAAACAGAGGGGGTGTGGAATAAGGAAACTTGCCCGATGTTTCACCCTGCCCGGGAATCAAACCCGTTTGCGAGACGAGCGCTCTGTCCACCACGATATGGGGGTCACTAACACAGTAATAATATCCCTGGCAGTGCCTCACGGGTGGCTGTAGTGACTGGTTTGGCTTTGGCGAGCGGCAGCAGCCAATTTGCACACAGTGAGGTGTAGCAGTGAGTGACCGGTCTGCGGCCAGAGGCGCACAGAGAGCCAGAGACTCCCATCCCTTTTACAATAGGGTCGCCCAGACATTAATCACAGTCTGGCTGAGCAGAGCGCAGACCGGGAGGGGCGGTTAACCTCTCATTTTGAAGGGTGGGGTCTCCGACAATGCGCCGCTCTCTCCCCCCCCAGCACTCACTGCGCTGGGGCGTTGGCCCGGCCGACTCGTGTGTTTCGTGCATCCGTGTTACACACGTGTAGAACAGTCACAACAACAAATCTGATGTCAGGGACACACATCACAAGGCATCCGACAGGTTGTCATCCCGGGTCTAGAGTGGCCCCAGAGATCCTTGGCCCCCGACCCCACTCCTCGCCCCCCCTCACCACCCCCACCCCCTCCTCGCCCCCCCTCACCACCCCCACCCCCTCCTCAGTCCCTCCTCGTCCCCCCTCACCAACCCCACCCCTCCTCAGTCCCTCCTTGGCTCCCCCTCAAACCCACCCTCAATACACCCCCCTAACAACCTCTCCACACTCCCCCCACCCACACTCCCCCTACCCATACACCCCCCTAACAACCTCTCCACACTCCCCCACCCATATACCCAACAACCTCTCCACACTCCCCCCACCCATACACCCAACAACCTCTCCACACTCCACCCATATACCCCCCTAACAACCCTCTACACACTCCCCACCCAACACCCCCAACAACCTCTCACACTCCCCCCACCCATACACCCCCCACCCATACACCCAACAACCTCTCCACACTCCCCCACCCATATACCCCCCTAACAACCTCTACAACACA